AGAGCGGAGGGATCCACCTGACCAGGATGAACTTAGATGTTTTTTTCCAACCCACCAGTGAAGAGTAAAAACATGGCCACGAGTACCTCCCAACTTCCATGTCTGTAAAATGTACTTGGAAAATATCACAGAGATCAGAAAGAACAAAACTATGAACCTGCATGACCGAAAGCATCTTCCCTTCCCACACTGATTATAAACCACTATAATTTGTAGCTTATCACTGTGCTTCACGGCTTTGGAATATTTCACCGCTCTGCGAGACGGTCTATTCAATTTGTTCATTCACCAAGACTTTTATGCTATTTCCATTCAAAAGCAATAGCATAATTAGCAATGGTCATGTGATACTAACGATCAGAGACTCAAAAAGGGCTCTGTTGTGCTTTTGCCTCCAACCACATGCAAAGCATCCAAAATTGAAGTTTATGGTGTAGAATAGAAAAGTGATTCAAGTTCTAAGGTACAAAATGAAGTTTGTCCTATGTTACAATATTTCTTTTAGGGTCTATAAGGGTAAATGTGGAATAAAATGATATGACACCATTTCTTATCAATTTATTCCATTTCTTTTACCGATATGGGCTGAATTGGTTACTACACTAGTTAAAGTAATGTTCAGCGTAATATTGAAAATAAGAGGGGTACTAGATGAAATTGTCCAAAACTTCAGGAAAGGTTTATGAAATTATCCAATAGTTTAAGTAGCTGTGCCTGTTGCTTGTACAAGAGTGAATCTTCTCTGTTTTCTTGAACGAGCTAAGAATATTCGTCGAATTCCACACTTTATTATTATTGACTAATGAAGCGTCCATGTCTCAAGCCTCCGGACGCAGGAATAAAGAATTTATTGTCCTTATACATGTTACAGCCTTTCTTGACTGCTAAAGTTGATAATTGAGCTAATGATAATTAAGAATCATATATATATATAATAAAGTCGTATTCTCATTCTTATCCCTTCATGTTTTCTCTTTCCTACGTGGCTTAACGAGACGGCAAATAGTTTCCTAATAGGATTCTTAATAAATCATATATATATATATAATAAAGTCTTATTCTCATCCTTATCCTTTTAGTTTATCTCTTTCCTACGTGGCTTATCGACATAGCAAGTAGGTGCAACGCGCTCTATGAGTTAACCCCCTAATAACCTACGCTATTCTATCTCTCTTTTTTCTCTTGACTTTACAATTCTAGATAATCCTTCCATAATTATCTCTTCCATTCTCTCACTTTTTTTCCCTTAACCCTAATCGTCAAGCCTAAATTTCCAGGGGATTAGTATAAATAATTTTGAATTATGTTTTTAACTCTCTCTCATCTTCAACTCAAAAGTTCGAAATATCAATTCAAATATTAGATTATCTTTATCAGATTATCGCTATCGACGATACTCTACATTTTTACTCATATATATGGTTATCGATCTATTACTTATCACTTTATCAAGCAGTGCAGATGTTTACACTTTTCCACAATGTTTTTGGAAATTTTTTTTTCAATGCAAGGACCGGATTTGGAACTTCATTTTTATTTCTTTCAATGCAAGGACCGCATTTGGACTTTGTTTATGCTCGCTGTATATGGTCTGTAATTTCCTACACCTTTTTCATAGTTAGGTCATTGAATTTGAATTTTCTAACTCTGCAAAAGTTACAGTTTGGTTTTTATTTCTGGCAAGGTTTTTGTAATTAATTTGTTATTTCAATTTATGGATTCACTCTTCAATTTAAGTAGAACACATATTGCTTTTTTGGTTAGTGATTTAGAAGTGATCTTTTAAACTATGTGTTTTCACACAATTTTTTAATTGCCTTTGACAATTTATTAATTGTCTTCAACAACGTATTAATTTTTTTTATTTTCTGGGTTTCTGGGGTTAAAAAAATTTTGTGCAGTTTTCAATGTTTTTTTTTTAGACTTTGATAGAAAGCTTCTAAAGAACAAGAAGGTGTCATTGATTACATAAATGACAAGGCATCAAGTTCATTGTCATACAACAGTTCACGTCATGCAATATACATCAGACTATTTAGATTTTTTATGTTTTTGACTTAATAGCAAAATACATCTTATGTTTTCGTTTTGGTTTCTTTTAGCCATGAACAGATTTAGAAGGTTGCTATGTTCCTGTGACTTGATTGATTCTGAATTATTATCTTTTATTAATATTTTACTCGACTTCTTTTCTTTTCGCATTAACTTTTAAGCCATTTATATTAAGTACCAAAATTGTGGGGGCATACTCCGGGATTCCACTGGATTACCAATGATTGGTTTTTCGGCATATCTGGGAGAAACTACATGTCTCCGTGCAGAGGCTTGTGCCCTTCTTATTGGTCTTCAGATCTGTATACATAACGGCTTTGGAAACATATGTGTACAATCAGATTCATTGGTTTTAATTGGGATCATTCAACGTCGTACTCAGTGTCCGTGGAAAATTCGAAGATACGTCAACCAGATTTGGCAGTTATTAGATGATCCACCTAGATTCACGCACTGCTATCGGGAGGCTAACACAGTTGCTGATGCTTTATCTAATGTGGGTATATCTCATCCAGATAAACAAATTGAGGTTTATGATACCTTCAGTACATTCCCAAGGTTGGCTCGTGGGGCAATCCGTTTGGACAGAATAGGGATACCTTCAATTAGAAAAATGAGGATTATGTAAGAGGAATATTTGATTATATTTTCCATGAATAAATAAAAGAATTTAATAAAAAAAAAAAGTACCAAAATTGATGTTTTGGTAACTGGTTGGCCATTCTTTTGTTTACAGAAGATCAGCCAAGATTTGATCTTCCCTATTTTCAAATTTTTGAATGTCATCATATTGTCAATTTTTTTTTTTGCATTTCGAATTATTAATCACTGAATTAGATGTTTAAATATACATTATAAGACTATTTTTTAATAACAATGTATTTAAGAAAGGTTATAATAGATTATACAATAAGTTTGTATTTTATGAAAATATTTTTATGAACTACTCTAAATAATTTATTATTTTTAGACAATTCCCATTCAATGAATGGGTGCAAAGCTAGTTATAAGATAATGTGGCCATTTTTCAATCTCTGGATACTGGATAGGGTATCAATCTCCTTTTTATTGTTTTTTTATTGTTTGTTTGTTTAGGTAAGATAGACGTTCCTATGAATATCATCATTTAAAAATATTTTTTTTATTGAGTGAATTGGACTGCCCTTATTTTTGAAAACCAAACTTGTCCTACCACATAGAATCAGCTTCACAACTAAAATCACTCAGTATTGCTTATTCAGATGCAAGTAGGTTTTCGATACAATAAAAGAGTGACTGAAAATATCCCTTGTCTTGAGATGTAGTAGCAAGCTAGTCAGATTTCTCCAATTTCTTGTTTGAATATATGAAAAATTCTAGATTGCGGTTATTTGAAATTGTTAAATCTAAGAAGCCTTGTTCAAATCAACTCCAAATTCATTAATCTTTGTGTTTATGGAACATTTTTTTGAGTAGGTAATGAGATTGAAGGATGGTTTCAAGAAATTCATATATTTGGGATAAATTTTGAAATTTGTCTTACATTTACCTTGAAGATCAGAAGAAAATTGCGGCAGAATTGTCAGTTATGAACATGATTATTCATGACAAACCAATTTGATTATTACTAAGAATGGCGAAGGGAATTAGCATTAAGCTAAATCTAGAACAAAGGCTAATTTATTATGAGGTGGATATTGAAGCAGCTGACATCAAATGGATCTGGCTGCATAAGTCTTTATCTTTAACTACTTAATTTAGCAATGCTCTCCATTTTAGCAATGTACTTAATTTATCTTAATTTAGCCTATAGCATGCTTTATACGCAACATTTATGATCTTTCTAAAACTAAAACATTAAAGGATGAAAAATAATCATACAGATTACTAACGGTATTTTGATTACTATACTTAAGCTTTTATATTTAAGGATATTGATGTTGCATTGATAATCTAATCTAATCTAATACTATATAAAAGTGTTGATGGATGCTCAGGGAAACAAATGGTCAACCAAGGGTACTTAGATTTCAATAGAGGGAGATGATGACAAACCAAAGGAATAAATCTTCGAACAGGAGCATTGACCCCAAGGTGCTCATATTTTTTTTTTACTTTTTATTTTTAAATTTTTTTTTTTTGGTTTTGCCGATTGCTTAGTGAAAAACTTAGAAATTAGAGGTTTTGAATTCAAATTCCCCTCCCTCTCTGCGGCTTAAATTCCATCCTTCCTTTTTTCGAAAAAATTTAAAGTCTAGTTAGTAAAGTATAATGTATCAAGAATTTATTACGTGTTTTTATAGGTTAGTTGAAAAGTATGAATATTTTTGAAATATATGAACTACACAAGCTTTTGTTGTGTTATACATTTAAATGTGTATTGTACAAGTGTAATAGAAGCATTTACTAACTGAAGCATTTCCACCAAAAAAATCTTGAACGAAGATAAAGGAAAAAAAACAATATTCAGGTCTCCAAATGGGATTCAAATCAAAATCTTGATGGCATCCAAAATATCCATTTTTGAGGTACTTTCTTTCCTTTCTCAGGAGCAGGATTAGGTACGTTTCACTCCGTCGATGCTGAATTCTTTCACATTGTAATGGCATGGCACGATGAAGAAGCACATATATACATATATTGAACATTCTGCACGTCTTATGTCAATCACACTAAATTCTAGCAGGTCCAAGGTACAGAAGTTTCTGATGTAACTGAGATAGAGATCATCAATTGTAGTAGATTATCAAGTAGATTTATTTATTCAACATGACAACAACATAAGAAGAGCACTCGAACTGAGTACTCATTACATGCTTCCCCCGTTGATTCTACACCAATTCAAAGAGAAGCCGCACAAGTCTTTTACACATATAGGAAATCAACCATCAAAGGCAAACACAACATAACATATTAAGGTAATAATATAGGTGTCACGGATCCCGTGTCACACCCTGATTTATTTAGCATTAATTTTTGACCTCATCTCCGGATGTAGCTTCAGGGGTCTCCTCAGCAGGTGGACAGCATCTTTGGCAATGTCCATGGTACCAGCGGCAGCAACCATGGCTGCAACGATCTGCGGTTATGGTATCCTCATCTCCAGATGTAGCTTCAGGGGTCTCCTCAGCAGTTGCGCAGCATTTCTTGCATCCCTTATGAGGGATCCAACGGCAGCAACCATGTCTGCAACTAACTAAGGTTACGGTATCCTGATGAACCTCACCCGAACTGGCATCCTGGACTCCAGTGGTCTTCACGTTCTCCTGATCTGTTTCAAGACACAAGGAGACATAAATATTAGGAGTGTTATCTTCAGCTGCAAAACGTGAGGTCACTGGCTAGGCTAAAAATTTACCCCAAAAAAATATGCAAAGAAAAGTATACTATGGACTGAAAAAAGGGTCAGGTATATAAATGGTGCGACTTGGATGGGAATTAATTTGCCTTATAGTCTACTCAATGAGGTAGAGATAAAACTATTTTTAATTTGGTTATCGACCTTATTTTGGTCTTTATTGTGTAAAACTATAGTGTGATATTATGGAATGTGCATCCTTGTAGTAATATTATAGGATGAAGTATCAGATGTGTCACTAACCATTGACAGAAGCAACCAAAATTTACTTCTGTTAAAAAGTGAAAAGATATCAGCAGATTAATAAATCTTGCTTGACGCTATATAAATAGCATATGATAAAAGTTGGCATCTCAATAATGAGTCTCCTAGAGCTCCATTATTCATTTGAGTATTTAGGTGCAACCAAGAAAAAAGAAAAAAGACTAGGCACCTGCGGCTGTTACATCAGAGGAAATGAGGAGCACAAGTGCAAAGAGAGCACCAAAGCGAAAGACCAAATTTCTTGAAGATGCCATTTGATCACAATCTCACTCAAAATGATAATGATGTGTTAAACTCACTGAGGTCTAGTAAAAAGAGCCTTTAGCTGAGGAGCACAATATTTATAAGAATTAGGTTGGGAACACCTTGCCTTGCGCAAAGAAAATACGTAAGTAGCTGTGCCTGGTATTGCTGACCAATAGTATTGTTTACTTATTTAAGAGATATCATCTTCCTCTATTTTCTTTTTTTTTTTTTGTCGAAACGATAAGATGATCTCATTGCTTTGATGATAAAAAAATTACAAGTGCGAGCAACGGCTCGAACGAAACTCTACAAACTAGTGTTCAAAGACACTGAGGAAGCTGTCGCTCCTCATCCACAACAATGCTTAAAGCATCAACACTCAGTTTTTTACTGACTATCATATTTTCTTCCCTATACAAAACAAAAGAGCACATGCAAAACAATCTCTGTAACTGAGAGATGTCTTCAAGTACTGTTGCCATTTTGCTGTCCGTTGGGCTCTGATGTTTTAATTGTCTCCACAGTTCCTTGTTACAAAACCTCAGCTTAAGATTGCTCCACTTGCGTTGTACAGCTTTACACAACACCAGCTTCAGTGCCAGAGCTTCATCTAGGATTTTGTTTCCAGAACTAATGTCTTTCAGTGCCCACCCTATCATCGTGTTACTTTCAAAAAGCTTAACTGTGACTCCAATTCCCGCAAATAGCTGCCCTTGCTTCGTGGTTGTAGTCACCTCCATTAGCACTTCTCCTTCATTTACATAATTCTGATCCTGAGCATCTTGCCTAGGGACTGTTTCTTCTGTGCTCTCTCCTTTCTCTTTGTGCTCTATCTGCTGCTGCTCTAACCATTCCGAATGTGCTTTCCTTATAGATTTGAAGGGAGGATCAAAGGTAGTGTTCTCGAATTCTCTTTTGTTTCTTTCTTTCCACACCTGCCACGGGATGTTTGCAGTTAAACCAATGTGTTCCATCCCTTCTGACCTGTGCCTTGCTTCTGAGATTCTTAACCACCACCTTTTGAAGTCTCCCTGCTGCTCCTTTGCTCCATCCCACTGAATGGGAGATGCCTTCCATATGTTTTCCGTGTGGGGGCTAGGCTGAGAATTTTAGTTTGAAGTCCACGCTTCATTGACTGATGTAGCTGTCCAAGTCTCCAGTCTCTGCACGTAGGAATAAAGAATTTGTTGTCCTTATATAAGTAACCGTCATTCTTGAATGATAAAGTTAAGAATTATAAGATAATGTGCTTATTTCTTCATCTCTGGATAGAATATCAATTTCCATATTTTTTCGTTTGATTGTTTAGGTAAACTTTCTCCATCTCTGGACAGCATATCAAATTCGCTGTCTTTTTCTTTTTCGTTCGCTTGTTTAGGTAAACTTTCATTTTCATGGGTCTAAAGGCCTAAAGACCTCTATCCATTTCAGAAATTTACTGATTCTAAGTTGGTGTAATAGAGCTTTAATTATCTCTATCAAGATCTTTATACATCCAGAGCAACTTTCCTGTTAACAATTTCAAATCTATATGTCAAATTCAACGACGGAATTTAAATTTAAAAAGAAAAGCTTATACTTTGTAAGAAGAAGTAACGAATTCAGGGATTAATGTTTCTTGCTTATTGCGTATGGATTGTTTTACACGAATAGGGTTAGATGCATGATAAATAATGTCAATTTAAATTCAAAGCCATATTCTTTTACGTGAATAAATAGTCTGTATAAGTTTTATTCTTTTTTCCTTTTTTTAGGTACTCAACAATTTTGAGAGGCATATTGTATTTATTGTACTCAACAATCCTCCTTTTTTTTTCAGCTTAAACTTGAATAGTCTAACTAGGCTACAACAAAATTGTATTGTTGAAGTTTCAGAATATTGGCATGGTTATGCCTGACAAATTCTATATTTATCCATTACTTTGTTAAGCCAATTGTATGGTACCTAATTTACTCCAACATAATTTCCAAAGAGGTTTGCATTTATCTGTCGCTTTCTCCATCTAAACTTTTTGATGTTACGTAATAATTTACATCAAAACCAGAAACCAGAAAAGCTCACAAGCTAATCGAACTCAACTTAGATCATTCATTTTTTTTGATGCCGACTTAAGAAGAGCAACATATCATGTAGTTTAAAAAATGCAATTAACTGCATATGATAAAATATAATAAGAAAAAAATTAAATTACCAAAGGTATATCCAAGATATAAAACTCTTGTAGTTGAAACAACTTGTACTAGATTTCTTTGTAATTGCAGAGCTATAAGTTGAAAATGTTAAGTGCATGAAGCGTGCAATATATGTACTAACTTGACAAGGTGATCTTAATATGAATATTATGTTAAAATTTTATAATTGTTGTGGGTTTTGTTCTAATCTCTTCCAATACCCAAGCTTGCTTTGGTTTTATTCTTTTTAATCACGGGCAATCCATAAATACATAAAATACCCCACCAACCTTTACGCAAGAACATGAAAAAGCATTTCCACCTCAAATATACCAAAAAAAAAAAAATTAAGTCAGCACTCAAGCCTGAATGATATTCAATTCAAATTTTAATGTCATCCAAAATATCATGTGAAGTAACTTGGTTCCTTTCTTTAGAAAGAAAGATGGTTGGTTTTAAATCTACCAGTACTTATCATTTACATTCTAATCGCATATTCACACAAAAATGTATGATTTCGTACGTGTATTTCAAAGCCAAAGCACTTAAATTTTCAACACTCTTTTATACTCATAGTGATCACAATTTGAAGAAGAAAAGAGATTTTCAACTAATATGCTACATAAGACAACAAACTACCGCTACTTTTGCGTTAGCATGAAGTTCAAACCTATAAAGTAACTTTGAATTCAAAAGTAAATGTACTTATCCAGAGAGTAGGGTAGTAGGATTATGGTAGTTAATATCATCAATTCCAATGGTTGCATTTACAACTTCAATATCACTATCACAGGCCAGTTAGGCATTGATGATCTTTAGTTGATAGTCAGTTTATTTTCTCAAAAGAGAAGCATTGAAATATGTGGACACTAACCTAGATTACAAGACTAGTATACCTTGAATTACAAAAGTATCTGCATTTTCTCTTACCTTGTTGGTTAATGGGCTATAATCTTGGATTAGATCGATTGATCCATTTTAATCACCTAATGTCATGGACTTATTTGGTTTTAGAGAAATGTGGATTTAGTATTTTATTGTTCTACTATTGGAGAATGTGCCAAACATTATTTATCTCATTCCTTTATCTCTATTCTATGCAAGCATTTAGTTTGACATAAATCCTTTCATTAACTTTGAACAAAAAATTAACATTAATCCTATTCTAAAAGTAAAAATTTAGGGCCTGTTTTTCAAAAACTAGTTTTTCAAATACAATAAAAATTTTTAAAAAGTACTCTAAAAGGTCATCTAAAAATTAGTTAAAATTTTTTTAAAATTTTAAAAACATTTCAAAATATATTCTATAAACTCTTCTACTCTTAAATATCCCAAAATATTTTTTAAAAATATCCCAAAATATAATCTAAAAACTCTGCTACAGTAAAATTTTTCAAAAACACCCCAAAAAACAGCTAATCCAAAAGGAGGCTTAGTTATTTGATCAAGAATATATACCTGGATTTGGTTCCTCTAAAATAAGTAAAGTTTAGAATTTCTAATAGCCCATACTTGGCATGAAAAAGAAGCAAATTATATTCAAGGGAACAATTTTTTTCTGATTCAACTCAATTCATATTATAACACCTTATTGCACAATGTTTCTATTGATCCGTCTACTTATTCGCGCCATCTAGTGTAGTGAAAAAAACAATGTCAGATTAACAAAGAAAACTAGAGATAATATTAGAAGTAACTAGCAAATTTATACCCATACTAAAAGCCAAACCACGTAGCGCATCAGTTATTAGGAGATCTAAGTAAGGAGAGATAAATTTTGGTGATGAATATAAAATTTTTCCTTCATCCAAACATTGGCATCCCAAATGACTCAATCAGTTCTAGTATGATGGAGGCATTGTGTCAGTCAGGGTACCCACATCATTAGGGGCATTGTAAAGAAAGGCTGCATAATCTAGAGTGGTTAATACAAACATCAATGACCTAGGAGAGGGAAACAATATCGAACTCAACATATGAAAGAACAGGTTGCAAAGTTGCTGGCTAGCAATTGGAGGGGCATGGACACCAAAATCAGGATGAACTGATAATGAGAATTCGTAAAAGTTGAGTAAGTGTGCTCCTTTAGTAGTCCCAATCACTTGCCTGGTTGTACGTCCTTTGAGAATTGGGCATTTCATGTTGGGAACTAAATAGAGAATTAAAAATATCAAGATAGCAGATGTAATTATATCTTCAATTAGTAGTTTCTTATGAGTTGAAATATGCTGGTTAACAGTTAGAGGGGTGCACAGACTTGACAACGTGTAGGGAGGTATTTGTTGCGCTTGAGTCAATGTTTATTAAAACTGAAAAAAAAAATGTTACAAGAGACCTTCATATTAATTTTTTTGTAGTATTCACTCGGTATTGACTCTTTAGTCCTAAATGCACAAACAGTGATATATAAGAATGAAGAATATTTGATTTTGGTATATGTTAGACAAAGTTCGGCTTTAAATAACAATTCACAAACAAAAAGATTTAATCAAACAAAGTTGTCAAATTATGTAGTTTAGTTTTACAATTATAAGCCTATCAATATCAAGTTTGCTTTATTAAATTGTTTTTGCTTCTTGTGACAAATATTACACTTTATTGTCACTAGAAGTTTTGAAAAATTTTACAGGTAAAACTTTAACTCAAACAATATAAATAAGTCTTTGTTGTCAAAGTAGTAGTTGTTTGGCACACTCCATGCACGAAATATTTATCTACTTATAAATAGTTAAGGATAAAAAACATTGAAATGTGGTATGTAATGGACGTTGATTTCTATTATTAATACACATGTTGATGAGTATATTCTCTCTTCTCCACTCTATCCTTTTTCTTC